AGGGGGTCGGGTCGACCATAGGGATCTCGATGGTGCGGTTGAGGGTGCCGTCGCGGTTCCACGAGATGCCGAGGACGTCGAAGGCTTCTTGCCACGTGTGTTGATGGAATTGGGCGCCGGCGGTGAGGAGGAGGATGGAGAGGAGTAGGAGGAGGGGTGGTAGGGGTTTTGTGGCCATTTTTTTGGAGGAAGAGAGTTGGGGTGGAATTAATGTAGTTTGGGCTACGGGTGGGGGGCTATTTATGGAGATTTTTTAGCTATGGGGGTTGCTGATCTTAGATACATGCATTAATGGATGGATGTATGATTTTTGTGTCATTTAAATGGGAAGTCAAGTATTAGAGTTGTTAAATTAAGCAAGCTGCTCGTGAGCTCGGATGGGCTTGTTTAATGAATGAGTCGAGCGCGAGCTCATTTAAAGGTCATTCAGTTGACAGTTCGACAAGATAAGGCTCGAAAATATTATTTTTTTACATGTATATATTTTTTTTTTAGTTGTGATCGATTTTGGATTGTTAAGGTTCGAGCTCGGCTCGTTAATAGTAATAAACGATCTCGAGCTCGAGTTCGATCATAAGTTTGTTGAGTTAACGAGTCGGGTTGAGTCGAAATTGGCTTGTTAAGGACTCAAGCTTGAACAGCATGAGCACGAGCTCGACTCGAACTGGTGGGATATTAATATCAATGTGACTCATTCATTTAACTAAAAAAATTGTGGAATCTACTAGTACTATACAATCGCTTTTGATGAGTGATTTGTGGGTTCAAATATGAAATATGTTTTAGATTTCGTGGAATTATAATGGGTTAGTAGAGATTGTGTGATTTATATTTAAATGAATTAATTAATACTAATAATAATGCATGTGTCGAAATGATAATTGATTGTCATTTTCAAACACGTCATTATTATTAATCAATGTGGCCTGTACACCTTGCCCGACATGCCCTCCGGATTGTCATTTTCAGGCAAGTAATTAATGGGGTCCATAAAGATGCGATAGATAGTGTAATTATAGATTTGTGTTTAAATTGTACCAAAAAAAAAAAAGGATTTGTTTTTATTTTTTAAAGAAAGCGTCGACAAAATAGAAGATAAGGCTAGCCATAGAAAAACAATATATACATGTACAAGTTCAAACATAAGAATGCAATTTGTGTGCATACAATATGCAAATAATTTAATCGCTTCATACCAACTGAGTATGGGCCTTCAAGTTCAAACATATATATGACATTTGTAGAGTAGCTACAGATACGAAGCCTACCAACGAATTGAGTGGCTTACCATCGCTCGAGTTATTGTTCGACTTGGTGAGCCATATGAACCATAGACGTAATTTAATGATAGAGTGTTTACTGCTTTGAAGTGTTTCAAATTTTATAAAAATTAACCTATATATAGAAAAATATAAGAACTTGCCCACCCAAAATGATTTGTTCTCAATTTAATAAAAATGTTTAAATTATTTAAAATATTATATATGATATTCTTAAAATATAAATTTTAAGTATCTCAATTTCCTGTAAGAAATTTCTTTTTTCTCTCTCTTAAAATCGTGAGATCCCCCTTTCTCCCTTGCAGTGAAAACCTAAGAACATGTTTGTTTATGCATATTTTCAAAAAAAAAATCCAATATTTTAACTCAACTACTATTTTTAACTCAACTCCACTATCATCAATATTATCAACATAATTAAATAATATCAATCAATCATTCATACACACCACATCAACCTTAATTCACTACTCATCCACTCACATTATTTTAACAATCATCACATCAAATCATCTCTCTTCTATTTTTACATTAAATTAATTTTAATTGTTTTATTTTAAATATTATTTAAATATACCCACTAACAACTAACCATACCACATTTTTCAAAATTAACCAAACTAAATCAAAAAATCCAAACAAAACCAAAAATTTTTATAAACAAACATGCTCTAATTTTCGTCACCGCGGCGCCTCCACTTCCTCCGGCGGGAGCCAATCCCCGTGGCGGTAATGGCACCAATTGTCGATCCGAGGGTCGACGTTCTCTTCCTCGCGTGGGTTCCCCCTTCTTTCTCTAAGGAGGGCCATGGCGGATGCACTTGTGATGGTCGTCGGGCGGCTTTGTGGCGGCGGTGGGCGTTTGATCGTCTGGCAATTGAAGCTCACTGCTCTGCGGCTCTACCTCTCCGCCCCTGTTTCGGCCGCGGTGTTGGGCTAACAGGGGCTGTGACCGGCGGCGGCGGCGGCGGCGAGTTTGTCGCCGGCTGGTCGGGGGTTTGGGCGCAGTTTCGCTGGTACTAGTCCGACGATGACATCCCGGGTAGAGCTTTGTCTTAGGTTCGAATCTTGATAGCCGGTCGCGGAGTTTCTAAGATTTTGGGTCGAGATTTGATCCCTATTGGGCAGTCATCTGGGTGTTGGCTTGCTTGAGGTTGCTAGGCGAGGTCTAGCCGTTGTGGAGAGGGTCTTCATCTTATTTTATGTTTGTTTTAGTTAGTGTTTTGTGTGTGTTTGTGTATGTTTTTGGTTTTTTCTCTCTTATTTGGAATGTATTTTTTACGTCTCGTTTTTGTAGGAGTATTTTCATCTCCCTTCTGGAGTTTTTTAGTCTCATAGGTGTGAGTGTTTCGTGAGTTTGTTGCTTTGACCGTGAAGGATGGTGTAGGGGAACATGCATTAATGGATGTATAAAGGCATCTATAATAGGGCGTTATTTTTTGTGTCATTTGAATGGGAGGTGTTAGAGTTAAATGAGTTGCTCGTGAGCTCGAGCTCGGCTCGCTTATATTAAAGCTCGTTCAGTTAGCAGCTTGGCTTGATGAGGTTCGAAAATATAATATTTGTAAATTTTTCTATAGTTCGGATCGATTTTGACTCGTTAAGGTTCGAGCTCGGTTCGTTTATATTGATAAATGAGTTGAGTTCGAGCTCAATCATAAGCTCGCTAAGTTAACAAGTTGAGCTAAGCTCGCGGCTCGTTCAGGACTTGAGGTTAAGCAACATGAGCTCGAACTTGGCTCGGCTCGAAAAAATTGTGGGACCTACTAATACCATACAATCGCTTTTGATGAGTTATTTGTTCGTTCGATATGAAAGGTGTTTTATATTATAAATAAATTAACCATTATGAATGTTTTGTATGTAGTCTGTAGACATGAAGTAGTGGAGATGGTGTGATTGATGTTTAAACTTTAAAGGAATCAGTAAGGGTGCATGCGTCTAAAAGATGATTGATTGCCATTTTCAGGCACGTCATTATTGAATTAATGGAGCCTGTACACCCGGCCCCGGCCCAAGTGTGCCCTCCGGATATTAGTTAAATAATTGTCATTTTCAGGCAAGTAATTAATGGGGTCATAAAGATGCGGTAGATAGTATAATTAAAGATTTGTTTTTAGAGAAAGCGTCAGCAAAATGGAGTACCAACAAATCGAGTGGCTCACAAATGCTTGAGTTAATGTACAGCTCGAGTTCGAGTTTTTGAACGTGCATGAGTTGACTTCGAACACTTCAAAATTTAACACGAGCTTGTAGGATATAAGTTTGATTGCTCAACTGAGTTTTTCAAATATACCTCTAATTTACCTAAATACACATAACTCAAAAAAACTCGAGTCAAATTCAAGAAAAAAAAATCTTACTTGAATAGAAAATTTCTATTGAAAAGTCAAGCGGCATTCGTGCAAAATTCGAACTAGTGAAATTTAAATCGATCTGGAGAATTTGTATATTTTTTACGAGTCTAGACCCCCTTGTATTTAAAATCGAGCTCAATCTGACAAGACCAATTTTCAACGGGTAAAATATACATAACTCCTCTGTATTATACGAAATCTGCACGTTTTTCCCTGGTATTTTAACAATTGCGTCAGACCCCCTTGTATTTAACTAACTGTTGCACGATCCCCCCTCTCCGTCCAACTTGACGGCGCGTGCAGTACACATTGCTCTTTTGCGATAATTAAAATTTACTATTTTTTTTATTTTAAAATTAAAATTTACTATTTTGTCCCTTGCTTTTCAAGCTATTATTGACAAAAAATACTTTGCTACTCATTCAATATCAAGACATTTTGTCTGTGGACAAGTCTCAAGGGGGCATTTGTAGACATCAAAATTTTAATATTTTATTAATTAGTGTTTTATTTATTTATGGACATAATTCTAAGATAAATACAATATTTAATTAATAAAGTAAATATTTCTTGCCACCAAGTCAAATCTTAGGATAAGGAAATAGATTATATCAAATCTTAGGATAAGGAAAAAAATTATATCAAATTATGAATGACCAATCAAATTGATGTCTTCTTTTCCAAGACTCTCTCTCCTACACCTATAAATAGGGCTCTCCTCAATGCCACAAATCACACCTCAAAAAAATCCAACACCTCGTAAATCAAAGTCTCAATTCAAAGAGCTCTCAATAATTCTCTTGAAGATCCAAATGTGTTCTTGAAGATCCACAACATTCAAGCCGAGTTCGTCGAGAAGTTCAAGCAATATAGCGTTTGATCCGGGAAAAAGTTCTCAAGCCCTCGAGTCAATGTTATTCAAGTCCAAATTCGTCTTCTAGAAAGATTGAAGAAGCAAGTCCTCCAAGAAGTTGTTTTCAGTCAAATCAAGTCTTAACGTTTAATTCGGGATCAAGTCATTCGACCCCCCAATTAACGTTAGACAAATTTAAACTCAAGCCTGAAGAAGATCTAACCGTCAAATCCATCTTCAAAGATCCAAATCCAAATCCATGAAGAGAAGAATCAGATGATACATATAGAAAAATTGTACCCGCAATATCGTTTGATCAATATATATTCAAGTTGTACAAAAAGTTTTATGTTTTCATAAAATTTGTTGTTACAAATACATACATATTTTATTTTTATTTATTTATTTATTTATTTATTTTTATTTATTATTATTTTTTTTTTAGTTGGTGGAAGAGAGTTCGGGTTGAAAGTTGGTTGGGCTACATGTCACTATGTGGAGACTATTTATGGAGATATTTTAGATATGTGGTGTGAATTGTGATGATCTTGATGCGTGCATTAAGATTCACCCCACTTGAGCCCAGTTGATCTTGATGCGTGCATTAAGATTGTAAGGCTAGTTAGCCTTCGGGCTACCTCTTGTAATACTCTATTATGAGGAATACA